TGCACGGAGGAGGCACGCCCGAGCGGTGGCAAGCCCCCCCCCCCCCCGCAGATGGGCGGGGCTCTCTGCGGAAAGTCGGCGCGTCGGCGCGTGGTCGCGGCAGTGGCGCTGCCACGGCCTGCCCGCGCCGTTGAGGCCTCCACTCCGGATGTGGCGGGATTGAGCCGGAGTGCAGTCGGGGTCTTGACCTAAGAAACCCTACATAAGGAACGAGGCTTTTTTTTTTCCATAAGTTAAACTTCGATTTCCCATCGAAAACAGAAGGAAAGCCTGAGGCAAGCTGTGAAACACTTAAGGAACGCCGAGCCCCTCCCCAACCAAAAGGGTTCCTTCTTCAGGGCCCCGACTGTAGGCAGGACCAGGCCCAAAGAAACACCAGCGCCGATGCTGAATCCAACCTCCCAGGAGTGGCAGCCTAAGGGAGAGGAGAAATGGCGCGCGGGACGGGGCATGGGCGCAGAGCTGAGGACGTGCACCTGCGCCTGCTTCCAGTCCCCCACCCCGCCTCCCTCCTCGTCCTCCCTCCTCCCTCCTCGCCTGGGACTCCAACCCCTATGCAAATTCGAGACAAGGCTTTTCGCAATGCTGGGCATCTCTTAGCAGATGTCGGGATGCAGGGACATCAGACACAGGCCCACGCATCGGTGTATCGGTGTAATTATCGGCTTGCGCGGACCGAACAGGTGGATCGGTGTACCGGCCCTGGCCCAGGAAGAGTGCCACGGTGCGAAGGCACAGAACATCACGACCCCCCTCATCGTTATGTTCCTCATCTGTGTCATCGTCGTCCTCCTTCCTCAACCTCCTCCACCCTCCCTTCCCCCATACCCTTCTTTCTCCGGATCCTGCTCCTCCTCCTTCTCCTTCTCCTCCCCGTCCTCCGCGCCCTTGGCCATCATCCATATCCTTCCTACCCCGAGCTCCGACGCGGCAAGAAAGACGGCCCTGGCACGTACCCAACCCACGTGCATCAAGTGGCAGGAGGACATGGCCCACACCTGCCAGGACAAGGACAGCGCAGGCACCGCTACATGTTGTGCAAGCTACATGAGATGCGGTCGCGTGGCACGACTCACAGGATAACCACTGAGGGACGAGGAGCGACCACCCTCCTCCTCCTCCTCCTCCTCCTCCTCCTCCTCCTCCTCCTCGAGGAGGACATGGGGGCGGGAACGAAGGGCAGGAGCAAGGACGCGCGGGGGGGCCGACCCGTCAGCACGGCAGTGGCAGAGGGAAGGTGGCAGGGGGCAGAGGACGACGACGAACATGGCGGGAGGAGACCGACCAGTGTTGCCTGTGTCGGTAGTGCGCGAGAGATGCAGCGCTGCCTGCGCCATGTCGCCGCGGCGCTCGACACAATGGTTACAGCTGTGGTACACTTAGTGCCACAAACGAACGAGGCCTAGCTCGCCTGCCAGCTTCCCTGATTCCATCCCGCACTCATCAGTACGGGAGCTAAACGCTCGAAGGCGCGCCGCCAGGTCTGCGGGCGGTCCGTGACGGCGCCCCGCTGGATCCGCCTGGGACCATCTTAAGTGGTTGTGGTGACAGTTTCGCAGATCGCAGCCCCCCCCCAGGGATGGCGAGGTCTAATCTGAGTTTGGGTAGTGCCTTACCCCGCTGAACCACCCAGCAACCTTCGAGAATGGCGACCATTTCGCAAATCGCAGCCCCCCTGGGATGGCGAGGACTAATCTGAATCTGGGTGGTGCCTCACTCCGCAGAAGACCTTGAGCAAGGTGACAGTTTCGCAAACCGCAGCCCCCGATGGCGAGGTCTAATCTGAGTCTGGGTGGTGCCTCACTCCGCTGATCCCCACAGCAGCCCTCGAGAGTGGCGACCGTTTCGCAAACCGCAGGCTCCCATGGATGGCGAGGACTAATCTGAATCTGGGTGGTGCCTCACTCCGCAGAAGACCTTGAGCAAGGTGACAGTTTCGCAAACCGCAGCCCCCGATGGCGAGGTCTAATCTGAGTCTGGGTGGTGCCTCACTCCGCTGATCCCCACAGCAGCCCTCGAGAGTGGCGACCGTTTCGCCAATCGCAGCCCCCCAATGATAATGAGGTCCAATCTGAGTCTGGGTGGTGCTTCACTCCGCTGGACCCCTCAGCAGACCTCGAAAGTGGCGACAGTTTTGCAAACCGAAGCCCCCAAAGGATGGCGAGGACTAATATGAGTCTGGGTGGTGCCTCACTCCGCTGGACCCCCCAGCAGACCTCGAGAGTGGCGACCGTTTCGCATATCGCAGCCCCCCAGGGATGACGAGGTCTAATCTCAGCCTGCGGCGGGTACCCACAATGCTGGTCGCCTCAGCAAGCCTCAGAAGTTGCGGAAAATTCGCAGATCGCACCCCCCCTTCCCCGTAATGGCGAGATCTAATCTGAATCCGCGGCGGGAACTCACTATGCTGCCCCCCCGGCAACACTCGAAAGTGGCAACGGTTTCGCAAACCGCAACCCCCCCAGGGATGGCGAGGTCTAATCTGTTTCCGCGGCGGGTACCCACTATGCTGGTCCCCCCAGCAGCCCTCGAGAGTGGCGACCGTTTCGCCAATCGCAGCCCCCCAGGGATGGCGAGGTCTAATCTGAGTCTGCGGATGGTGCCCACGATCTTGGTCCCCCCAGCAGACCTCGAAAGTGGCGACAGTTTCGCAAACCGAAGCCCCCCCTCCCCAGGGATGGCGAGGTCCAACCTGAGCCCGCGGCGGCGAAAGCGACGACAGCTTCGCAGATCGCAGCTCCCGAGGCATGCCAGCTTCACACTCCGCAGGCCCCGCAGGCAAGCGACCAGGCGCACAGGAGAGGAGAGGAGAAGGGACGCGGGCAGAAGGAAGGAGACTCGGAGACCGCAGCGCTCTATCCAAAGCGAGAACCCAACGCAGGAGGGTTGGGAAATACAACAACATAAATAATTACGACCGGAGCCCCGCACCGCATCTTCCTGCGTCATGTTTCAGAACCGGATCGATCTGTGCGGATCCTGGGGCCCAAACCCAGCGAAAACCCCCGTTGTGAAAAGTGAAACACCAAGATCTCAGGGTCTCCAACACCTTCGTTTTCCACGATCGCGGCGAGATGCCTGTCGGGTCGGGCGAAAGGGAGGGATAGCAAAGGGGGGGGGGAGAATCAGCTCACGTAGCTGGTTTCCCCGGCGCCTCCCGGCGCCGGAGGCGACTATATATATATATATATATATATATATATTACACACACATACATGCATGCATGCATGCATGCATGCATGCATGCATGCATGCATGCATGCATACATACATACATACATACATACATACATACATACATACCTACATATACATATATATATATACATATCGAGGAATGGGCCCCTCGGTGAGGCCGAAACCAGCTGCACGCAGCAAGTTTCGTAACCCCCCCTTTCCCAATCCCCCCCTTTCGCCCCGCCCGAGCCCGGCCAGGCGCGCGCACCGTGACTGCCACGGGCCCTCACCCGTCAGAGCTCCTCCTGCCGCACGGCCCGCAGGAGCGCCTCGGCCACCGGCCTGCTGTCGCCGCCCTTGTGCGCGGCGCCCCACGTGACCACGGAGCCGTCCTCCTCTGAAGGGGCCCCAGGACACAGCCCCAGGACACACAAGTCAATACACACAAACAAACAGATTCCCCATATTTTCGCGTATGTTCTGGGCTTTTGGCTTCCCCCCCACTTCCCATATTTTCCCATATTTTCCTGGGGATCGAGAACTCATTGTGTCTGTGTGTTTTTTCCCCTCCTGATCCTTCAGCGCCACGAAGGCCTGGTCCGTGAGCTTCGAGATGTTCACCTAAGACAAGAGCCAGGACGAGAATGACATCGGGTGAGGATAAACCGAAGATCTCTGAGATCCTGCGGCTTTGGAGGATGCCTCGGGCGCCGCGGCCTCCTCGGAGCGTTCCGGAACGCTCTGGACTAAATTTATCCTCGTCCCAGCCCCGCCCGATCACCACACCAGAGCTAAGCTCGTGCGCCACCCCGCTGCTGTCACCGCCCTGGACGGGCTTGCCCCAGGTGACCACAGAGCCGTCCTCCCGGAGGGCGGCCATCGCGAAGTGGTTGGCCGCCAGTTGCGTCACCCCGGACTGTAAACCATCCTTCACCGCACTGCTGTCGCCGCCGTCTGTCGGCTTGCCCCAGGTGACCACCGACCCGTCCTCCCTGAGAGCGCCGAACTGCCAAGAGTCCCCGACGACCTCCCTAATCTTGGCGCCCTGCCTGAGATCCTGCTCGACCGCACTGTGATCTCCGCCGCCGTGGCCCGTGCCCCACGTCACCAGCGAGCCGTCCTCCTTCAGGGCCGCGAAAGCATCGAGATTGCTCCAGATCCGCGCCACGCCCGACCGCAGCAGGTGGGCAACCTTGCTGCTGTCGCCGCCGTGGTGGTTGTCCCCCCAGGAGAAGACCGAGCCGTCGCTCTTGAGCGCGGCGAAGGAGGCAGTGGATGAGTACACGTCCACCACGCCCGACCTGAGCTCGGCATCGACCTTGCCCGAATCCACGTCGCGCCCCCACGAGATCACGGATCCGTCCTCCTTTAGGGCCGCGAAGGCGCAACAGCAGGTCCAGATTCGCTTCACGCCGGACTGAAGCTCTTTGGCAACCGCACTGCTGTCGCCACCCATGTCGGCGTGCCCCCACGTGGCCACCGAGCCGTCCTCCTTGATGGCCGCCCCAGCGCAGCAGTTCTCGACCACCTCAACCACGCCAGACTGGACCTTCTCGGCGATCGCGCTCGCGTCGCCCCCAAACCGCGGGTCGCCCCACGTGTACAGCCGGCCGCCCTTCAGTGCAGCGAACCCGAAGCTACCGCTGAAGACCTTGTCCACGCCGCTCGCGAGCACCTTCTCCAGGCCCCCCATGCTGCCGCCCATGGCCGGGTTCCCCCAGGCCACCACTTCGCCGCCCTCCTTCAGCGCGGCAAGCGCCCCGGGAGTCCGGATCAGGCTCCTGACGCCAGACTTGAGGCTGCCCGCCACGAGGCTGACGTCGCCACCGCGGTTCGGGTCGCCCCACGCGACAACGGAGCCGTCCGGCATGATGGCCGCGACCGCAGAGTCCGTCGCCGTGGTGACCTCGGACCACCTCCGGGACCGCAGGCGAACCCCACCCCCCTACTCCCCACGATCTCCGAGGGGGAGGGCGGGGCTCGCTCCGCTCGGGAGCTCCCGAATGAAGCGAACCCCGCCCTCCCCCTCGGAAATCGTGGGGGGGCAGGGGGTGGGGTTCGCGTGCGGCCCCCCACCATAGGGGGCAAACAAACCTACCTCGCTTCCGACCACCCTCGCTTCCAAGAGATACCGAGCGATGCCAAACCACGGCCTGTGTACTGGTCGGGCCGCTTGACGAGGAGGCGCGTGGTGTGACTTGGTTTTGCCTGGAAGCGAAATCGGGAGCGGCCAAGAGGGGGGTGTCCAAGAGGGGGGGGGTGCAAATCATGACCGGCGGCATGTGCGCGGCCCAGCGGGGGGGCCAGGGACGTAATGAAACAAGAAGGGGCGCCGCGAAATCTGGGGAAATATCATGGCCCCCGCCATGATATCCACCCCCCAGCTAGTCATCACCCCCCTCTTTTCCGCCCCCGAGCGAAAGCGGCGTAGGTCATTCACGCGCCCCCCAGAGGTCCGGACCCCTTCCCTGGAACCGGTTTTTCATCCCGAGTCGTTTTTTGACGGTCCCGAGGCCCGGTAAGGGCCCCCGGGGGCCGAAAATAGCGGAAAACCTCCCGCCGTGATTTCTTCACGACCCGAGGGGGTCTGGGTCTGACACCACCTCGACCAGTAGGTCCCGTCGGCGCCGGGCCTGCCGGCGGCAGCGGCCAGGGCGACCCACACGCGCGCCCGGCGGCGCCCACGAGAGGCCATGGCTGCGCGGGCCAGCGGGCGTGCGGCCCTCGGGGCCCGCCCGCGGCCCTCGCTCGCTGGGCCCAGAGCCACGGCACACCTCGTCTTCACCGCCGCCTTCCAACACCTCATCTTCACCTCCTTCCAACACCTCCTCTTCACCACCTCCTCCTCTTCACCACCTCCTTCCAGCACCTCATCTTCACCTCCTTCCAACACCCTTCTCCCCCTCTTCATCCCCTTCCTCCTCCGCCGAGCTTTTCGAGCCCATGCGTCGCTGAGTGCTTCAAGCGCAGCGTGGGCGGAGGAAACGCGCAGCACTCCGCAACTGCGGACACGGGCAGCGGCGGCGTCAGCAGTCTGCGAAGCTGTGAAGACGCCCGCCGCAGGCGCCGATGATTGTCACACCTTACGCAACGGGCCCGCCGCAATCGCCGCGCAGTTTCGTCAAAACAACGTGGGTGGGCAGCGGGTGGGTCACCAGTGGGTCGCAGGGTGGGTCGCGGAGTCGGTCGCGGCGTGGATGCGGGGTGGGTCGCGGGTGGATCGCGGGCGGGTCGCGGGCGAGGACGACGATACCAGCGCGACAACGCAACACCACAACACAAGAACAATCTGCACCGCGGAGCCCCACTTCAGCGGCGCATCCAGGAACATTTAATGACCGTTGGGCCCTCGCACGCTGATCTGCAATGAGGCCTGAAGCCCTGTGGGAAGAATCCGAACCGACACCCATGGGCAAGACCGAGGCCAAACCAATCCGGAAACTGCCAGGCCGACGCCGAATCGGTGCCGCCATGCTCGTCATGCTGCGGGCAATTAGCATAACAAACAATCGCTGCGCAAGATGGGCTAGCAGCCACTACCGGGGATACCGCAAGAAAGGGCGTCCGAAGCTGCGAGCGCGCCTCCGCATCGAATAGTTCAAACTGGGCCTTGGTCAAGGATACAAAGAGGGGGGAGGAGGAGAAGAAAGAGAGGGATTATGATTATGATGATAATTCTGATTATGATGATGCTGATGATGATGATGATGAGGAGGAGGAGGAGCAGGAGCCTCAGCAGGCGCTGCGAGCAGCCCGGGGCGGTCTCAACACTCTGGCGGCGCCTCTGGCGGCGCCTCTGGGGCGCTCCACGCCCGGCACCCCAGGGTTGAGGAGTTGAGGCCGCCCCGGGCCACTCGGGGCACCTGTTGAGGCCAGCGGGGGCTGCTCGGAGGGCCTGTTGAGGCAAGCCGGTCTTGCGTACCCGGGGAGGCTATTCGGGCGGGAGGTGATAGGGGGCTGGCCCAAATCGGGGGTGAAGAAAAAGGCCCTAAAGCGGCCCTTCTGGACCTGTTTTGGGCCCTGCTGGCTCCAAAAGGGGCCCTCAAAGGCCCCTTGAGGTCCCTTCGTCCCCCCCCCCCTCTATTTAGATCCCCCCCTTGCCACTCGTCCAAGCTGCCTGCGCGCAACCCGAAGCATTCCCAACCGGCGCTCGGGTCGCCTGACTCGGCTCTCTGGCGGCCGTTCGGGCCCATCCGGGCACCCCTGGAGCGCTCTCGGCGAGACGCAGCTGCTGGGAAGCACCCCGAGGCTGGAGAGCCGCCGAGAACAGGCGGCGGCGGTGGCGACAGCGGGACCCCACAGCGGCGACGACGGCGGCCACGACGGCGGCGGCGAACGCGGCGGCGGCAAGCACAAGCGCAAGCGCGGCCACGGCGGCGGCGGCGGCGGCGGGAGCGGAGGCACGGAGGACGGTGCCCGCTGGCCGCCTGCCCGCAGGCCTCGGCAGCTCCGGGGACGTTGGGCCCCCTCCGGCGAAGTGCGCGCCCTCTGCGGAGGGGCCGGACCACGGCACTCCGTCTTCCTGCCGCGGGGGCGTCGTCGTCTTCGTCGCCGCCGCCGCCGTCGCCGCCGCCGCCGCCGCCGTCCTCCTCCTCCTCCTCCTCCTTCTCCTCCTGCTCCTCCTCCTCCTCCTCCTCCTCCTCCTCCTCCTCCCTCCCCCTCCCCCCACGGGCGGGTCGGGTCGGGTCGGGCGGGCGGGACATTAAAGTATGATGCACCATCCAGTTGGCACGCGAGTACCCTAACGGGCGGGACGGGTCCGGCGGGCGGGCGGACGGGTCGGGTCGGGCGGGCGGACCCTCACGGGCGGGACGGGTCGGGTCGAGCGGGCGGGACATAAAATAATGGTGCATCATCGAGTTGGCACGCGAGTACCCAGACGGGCGGGACGGGCCCGGCGGGCGGACCCTAACGGGCGGGTCGGGTCGGGTCGGGCGGACATTAAAGTATGGTGCGCCATCGAGTTGGCACGCGAGTACCCTAACGGGCGGGACGGGTCGGGCGGGCGGACCCTGACGGGCGGGACGGGTCGGGTCGGGTCGGGCAGGACGGGTCGGGTGGGTGGCCCTCGATGATGGATGAGGGAGGAGAGGGGAGGAGGAAGTAGGGAGTGATGAGGGATGTGGGGCGGGGGGACGTAGCGGCAACGAGGGATGGGGGAGGGCGGGAGGGCAGAGAGGGATGGATGAGGAGGAGAAGGAGGAGGAGGAAGAAGAGGAGGAGCAGCAGCAGCAACAGCAGCAGCAGACTAATGAGAGAGAGTAGCAGGAGGGAATCGCCTCTGTGGAACCTGTCCTGTGGAACCGGTCCTGTGGAACCAGTCCTGTGGAACCGGGCTTGTGGAAACGGTTCTGTGGTACCGGTCCTGCGGAACCGGTCCTGTGGAACCGGTTCCGTGGAACCGGTTCTGCGGAACCGGTCCTGTTGAACCGGTCTTTGTTGAACCTGTCCTTGCTGAACTGGTCGTCTGTTGAACCGGTGCACGTCTGTTGAACCGGAGGAGGAGGAGGAGAAGGAGGAAGAGGAGGAGGAGGAGGAGGAGGAGGAGGAGGAAGGGGAGGAGAGGAGGATAGGGAGGAAGCTCGCGGTTCGCCAACGCCCGCCTCCCCATGCCGCTGGCCAGAGACGCGGCCGACGTGAAGGGCACGGTCCACACTCGGTACGAGCAGCCAGGCGCGACGAGAGGAGTGGCAGGAGCCACGTCTCTGGCAGACATGAAGGGCACGGTCCACAGTCGATACGAACAGCCAGGCGCGACGAAAGGAGTGGCAGGGGCAGCCGAGGCGGCAGGCGTGTCCCACAGCAAGACCATCCTGGAGCTCAGGCAGGCACTGAAGGAGTGCGAGGGCGTGAACTTCAAGCAATACGGGCCACCACACGTACACTTAGTCATGGCGGCGATACCCTACGGAATGGGCAATCAGTGGCCAACGGCGAGACCCCGAAGGCCATCATCTCGATGGCGTTTCACAAGGACACCAAGCTGGGCATGGCCCTCTCGTCACAGCTCAAAGCGCTGCTTATCTCGGAGGGGGGGGGGTCTTCCTGCCTGGCGCGGCCCCGAAGGGCCCCCTGGAGAGGGAGATCAGCGAGATGGTGGGGTCCAAGGAGAAGCATTCAGTAGCAGCGTGCAGAATGGTAGCCAAGTCGGTGCTCAACAGCAGCAGTCAAGCCAGCAGCTCCCTGTCGGGGCTATGCGTTCTTTTGGTTTTAATCCCGCCAGGGTCTCAATGGGGGGGCGAACGCTGCAGGGAGCTCGCAGCCCGTGGAAGTGTCTCGCCCGAGGTGCTCAATTCGCCTGCCCTTCAGCTTAGCACATGTGCCGCGGCACCTCTCCCTGGGCCACTCCCCCTCACTCTGAGGATGAATGCCCCACGTGCCAAATCAGACTTCAAGGATATAAGGGAAGCGTCAGGGCGGTGGGAGCGGGACGAGTGGTGGTGGTGGTGGGAACGGAGTTCCCGTGCCTGTGGGGCCTGCCCCTCAGGGCTGCGTGCCCGCTTCTGGGGTGCAGGTCGGCCAGTGCTTCTCTCGCGGAGTGCGCGGATTGCAAAAAAACCTTGGTTTGCAAAAAAACATGTTTTTTTTGCAATCCTCGTTTTTTTTGCAATCCTTGGTTTTTTTTGCAATCCTTCGTTTTTGTTTGCAATCCTTCGCCAATCGCAGCGATGCCTGGGGGGTGCAGACGCCACCCGGCTCCGAGTCCTTGCTCTCTCGGTGGCTGGTCGCCTCGCGCCGCGAGACCTCTTGTCCCACCGGGAGCCCGCCGCGCACGAGACCGACCAGCTGGATCGAAGGATTGCAGAAAAACCCAGGATTGCAAAAAACCTTGTTGTTTGCAATCTTTGGTTTTCTTTTGCAATCCTTTGCTGGATTTTGGTTAGAGGCACGGCCGTCTGAGACACCTCTAAAGTCCTCCTCCTTCTTCTCATCAGCCCCATGATTTTCCCATAGTGTTACAAGTGGTAGTACTATTAGTCGTGTCAGTATCACCACTACTACTGTTAGTACATGTGTGTTCTGAATCTGATGTTTCCTATTCTTACCATAATTAATACGATTGCTTCTCTTATTTTTTCGTCTTATGATTAGTATCATTCGTACGTGTAGTATTATTTTCTTCTCTTCCGAAGCAGGTGTCCTCCGCATCGCCCCACAGCAGCTTCGGGGAGATGCCCACCGGCGGCGTCGGCGGCTCGGGCGCGCCCGCGCCCAACGCGGCGACGGCCTGCTCCTGGGGGAGGAGGAGGAAGGGGACGGAGGAGGAGGGGCAGGGAGGAAATGAAGGAGGAGGAGGAAGAGGAGGAAGGAGGAGGGGCAGGGAGGAGGAGGAGGAGGATGAGGAGGAGGAGGAAGAGTAGGAGGAGGGGAGGAGGAGGAGGAGGAGGAGGAGGAGGAGGAGGAGGAGAAGGAGGAGGAAGAGGAGACGCAGCCGATGCGGACAGTCCAGCCAGCACGGGTTCCAGCACGGTGGCGCTGCGGGTCTATGGCAGGCCTCCCTGAGGACAGCGCGCCCCATTGCCACTTACGCCACCTGCTGCGCCCGAGGAGCTGAGACAGCCTGCGGAGATCACGATCGCCTCTCTGGAGCTGCAGCCGCGGCAGCTCGAGAGGCAGAGAACAAAGATGCGGCCCCACCCCCCACCCGCAATCCACCTTCAGGCCGCCCCCCCCCCCCCCCACAGGGGAGAGAGCAGAGAGGCACAGAGGGAGCGAGAGAGCCGAGCCGCCGACTTCGCAGCAGACCAGGACGATGGTCTGAACG